TTTTCTTTCTCTACCTCGTGGATTTGTGTAATCGAAAGCACGTCCGGTTAGCAAACGAGAGGTCCGATGTTCGAATCCTGAAGTGGGCACTGCACTCAATTTGTGTCTTCAGGTTCTAGAAAAACCTAATGCCTCTACAAATACCGTCGAATATTAAGTGAAAATTAAAGTATAAAACGCGAAATTTCCCAAAATTACGAATTTCTTTTCGCAAAAATATTTTCATTTACGTTTAGTATTTTAAACGAATATGTTTGTTCTCAGTGAGAAAGAAGAAGTGGAAGAAGTTAAACAATTATTGATAAACGTAAACAATTCTACAGTATTTCACAATTCAGTATCGTATCAAACTGTACGCTATGTCGCTGGATATGTTGCAGATAAATTTTAAATTGTTTGCCTTTTCTTTGGTTAAAAAGAAAACTGTGAACCTTTGCATTTATCTGTACGAAAGCACTACCCAGTTTGATAGAAATAATATGCAAAGGAGGCCTTATGCATCCTACAGAACAATGGATTAAAATCGTTTGTGAGGAATACATTTTTCAACTAATTTCACAGGGCTGAATGTTGAAAAAAATTAAAGGAACAACTCAAACTTTAACGACAGAAATTGATTTGAAGTACGTTGAGCAATACCTATTAGCAATAAATTTGTTTGTTAACCCTTTGAAGGGCACCGGTATATAATATATACCGGTGGTTTGTCAATTTTTTAACCTCCGAATAAATGCTAATTTTTCTACACCAAAAGCGTATAATCGTAAGTTTCTAGTGTTCCTTTCAACTAAATGTTAGATCACCCTATGATGCTCAATATTTGCAGTTATGAAAATATACCTCTTGCAAGGTATCATGTTGGAAGATTGATAAATTTATTGGAGGGAAGGAAAGATTAACTTGCAAATATATGACGTACACATGCTGAATCTTATATTTACTTCATTTTGTCAGAAATGATAATTACCGAAGATTATTTAACGATTTTAAAACCGGATATAATATATACCGGCGCCCACACTGAGGGTACAAGCAATAGAGGCAGACCAGTCTTCTATTTATACTCTGTGAATGACAAAATTTCTTTATTATAACAGTTATGACGTATATTTTTCATATTATTTATAAGTGTTTAGGATTCAGTATTATGTTCATGGAGGAATTGGGGAGTATTGACTCTGCGGTAGGATGAATACAAGATATAGTTCATTATTTTGTACTCAGTCGAGTTTCATTGTCTGGTTTAGCTAAATTTTTATTTCAGCCCTTATCTTTTTTCAAGAGAAAGACTCATCGATTTCAAAAATGCCATCTGGGGTCAAAACTTACACAATTGTGGGGGTTAAATGTGGTGTTAGCCCCAAAAGCCACCTTGCTCGTGTTTCAAAATTCTAGAATGCAAGGAAATGAAAGAGGTGCTTGACAATTAATTTGTCATGGAGAGTCACGCCTTCTTCCTTTTGTGAAGTGTGATAAGATCCACAAAGGGAAAGCTCATTTAAAATGAAATGTACTTAAGGTCCATCTCACCGAAGTCGCGAGCTTCTTCTTCACAAAACGGCTGGTTGAAAGCATGCTTATTTTTAGGGAATTCTTGTTAATTTCAGATGAAAGAATAGAGACACAGAGAAATCTGCGCTCTCGTTTGAAAACAAATAGGTTGTTTCCGAAATAAAATCTCACAGTTGGTGGAAAGGAGGAACTATTTCTAAGGGCCGTTTTAGATGCAAACTAAAATACCAAAAGTGAAAAGAGCTCTTGCAGCCAAAAGGGTTGAAAAAATCGAATAAGAGCTTTGAGGGTATCAAATAATAAAATTGTAACGGCGTTTCTTCCTGAACAAAAAGATACATTACAACTATATTTACAAAAACAAACATTTTTAAAAAAAAAAAAAAAAAAAATAAATAATACATCAGGACATTAGGCCTTGATGATCTAAAGTGTGTGCGTGGAGGGGGGCGATTCTTCGTAGATAGATGAGCATGGTTATTTTTTTCACATATTATCTAAAGTATAAAATACAATCTCAAAAAGCAACATACTTTCTCAGTGAGTCGGTCGGAGTGCTTCATTTTTTCATTTTTTTAAATTTTCGGCTGAGTTACATCTGCTTGTAATATATACTAGTTCAATTACAGCATGATACGATTAAACATGCAGTGTTATATTGCTAAATTTTTATAAAATAATATTGAATTTAAATCAAGTTGAAAAATTTTTACCCATATTTTAAAGTATGTTAGTGGGTGCGTCATCAAAGTCATAAAAAACATAAATTTATTTTTAAAAATTTTAAATTTCGCCAAAATTAAAAAAAATGTTTCACTTACAAACTATATTCAAGCACTCATCTACAGACGCACATCAAAAGTACCCAAATTAATTTTTAAAACAAAGATTAACCGTTGACAGCTACCTGGAAAAAAATGTCTAGAGGCGCCGTAAAATATATACTGGCTCTCAAAATTCAGGATTTCGCTCTAGATTTTTTTTAAGTCTCAATTTTGTATCCTTAGGGTCCATAAGTTATAGTTCATGCAAAATTTTACCACAGTTTAAATTATTTTATATACCGCCCCTAAAAGGGTTAAGATACGTTGAGGAACTCCTATTAGCGATAAATTTGTTTGTTAAGGTACGTTGAGGAACTTCTATTAGCAATAAATTTGTTTGTCAAGATACGTTGAGCAATACCTATTAGCAATAAATTAAGATAGAAACTGTATTGAGAATGCGAAATATTAACATTTCAGAGCGTAGTTCTCGTTCTTTTAAAGACGAGAAAAATAATAATGATGATAAAATAACAGTATCTAATTTAAAGCAAGATAAGTTTAGGAATTTCGTCTAAAATTATAAATTATTCTCATTATTTTTAGCTTAAAGAGCGTTAGCCCAGAAAGGCTATTAATTTCGTTTTGGTATTTTGCGTTTGTTCACTATAAATGTAGGTTCACTTTTCAAATTGTTGCAACCAAATATTAGAGCCCTGCATTATATTTAAAGAAATTAAGTAATGAAGAATCCGCATGAATGTATGTATGTTTCTTGCAATGAAAAAAAAAAAAAAAAAAAAAGGTACATAGAGACAACAAATTTTGAATAATATAACCCTCCATTGGAATATGGGCATCTGGAGGTCCAAATTTGTTTGTTTTATTATCTATTTCATAGTTTGTCAAACATTAAAGAATTTTTGATTAACAAACTCAACGATTTCAAAGCGAACAATGGAAACACTGTAGGAAAAAAAAAATTATCTCCAAAACGCGAGATTGTGTATGATTGTGTATTGGAAATTCTAAAGATATGCTCTTTTTAATATTTTGTGATATTGCTTGTTGCTGTTGAATTGAATTTTATGGTTTCAGTGCGAAGAACATGAGATTTAATAAGTAAAGGTAACACACAAAACGTTTAAAAACGCCCTTTGGGCGTAATATAAAATCTGAAAGATTGCAGATTTGTTTATATTATTATTATCTAATTTAAGATTTTAAGATTAATATTGAATTAGTTTTACTGAGGCACTGATACATAGCCTTTTTAATATGTCATCAGTGTTTTTTTTATTTTTTTTTTATTTTAGAAACACTTTCAGTTTTCTGCTGCGCGGTAGCGAGTAAGAAGCGGTAGGCAGCAATACTTTGGAGCAGACTTATGAGTCAAGGACGCCACACGCTGGTTAATCTTGCTCGGAAGGACTAACCTTGCAATATGGTGACTTTGGTATTATGTACATTTTGACATGCTACAAGTTTTGGCATTTCTTGCATCATGAATGGAGGGAAAAGTTACTTCTTTAGAGATAAAAATTGAAACAAAATTGAAAACACATTCTAAATATGCTTCGTAATGCAAAGCAGGCTTTTTTTTTTTATACCAACTTGGGAAGCTGCCAACAGATATTTTTATTCTGCGACAAAATATTTCATTAATCTTCGACTTTGCTGTGAGTTTCTCTTGATTGCTAGAACTGCCATTTACTCACAGAAAAATGTTTGATTGATTTTCTGACGCAGTTTTACTTTTTTTTTTTAAAGGAAAAAAAAAATTTTGACAGTTATTTCTGGTCTCTTTCTTTCTATTAAAACGCCTAGTATAGTATAATGATTGTTATGTTATATTTAATTGAAACAGCGAAATTTAATTGAATGCAGTTACGGGAATTCGATGAAGTATAAAGTTGTTTTTTTAAACCAGGACCATTTTCGTATGAGGAAAGGAAACATTTAACACGTTTGTGAATATTTTATCACATTTTCTTGCAATAGCGTTTTTTGATGGGGAGGGAGGGGAAAAGCAGAAATATTACCAGGATCTGATGATGAAATCGAAAACTAACTTAATTTTATTAGTAAATAATGCATTTGGTAGAAAAAAAAAAAAAAAAGAAATATATCTAGCAATCAACCAAATTTTTTTTCCTTGGAGTAGATCGTCAAGAAATAATGAAATTTTCCTGAAAGCGCAAGAAGATTAAAAGTTTTCGTAATTTAATAACCATTTTTTCAAATTATGATTATGATTTTTTTGTGTTTATCTGGTGTTTTCTAGTGTTTGTATATTTTTCCGGTGTTTATAGTTTTATTCCAATGATTTATTTTTTTGTTTATTTCCAGTGATAAATATTTAATTTTATATTTTTCTATGATTTTAGTATTTCTGGTGCTTTTCGGTTTTTTTAGTTTAATTATGATACCTAATATAAATAATAATTACCTAAAAAAATTTTTCTTTTGCGTATTATTTTTAGCTTTACAAAATGTTTTGACCTTTTCTAATCTTGGGTTGCATGTCGGACTTCTAAAATTTCTAATTTTTGATCCCAGCAATAATTTAGGTTTTTCCTTTTAATTTCCTCGACTGGTTTTTTTAAAAACAAAAACTTTTCTCGTGCGGCATCTGAGCGAATATTCATTCGGTACCTATAACCGTAGTACATTGCACCCAATCATATTTATAGTTTGACAGTCACGTGATAGACGCTTCGGCAGGATGTGTAATTAGTGGATGGTTAAGGAAGAGTGAGATACGAAGGGTTGAGATAAGTAGCTTTCGGGATGGGCAGGGAAACAATGGAATGTGGAAATTATGAATTTGACTTCTAATAACGTTGGCTTCTAATTGTGCAGATAGAGAGAAAATGGGTTTGGAGCTGAGGCTTCATAGTCCATGTGGAGGAGAGCCAGCGATATATCAGTGGCCATTAACAGCTTCGGTAAAATATTTATATTTTTGTTGTGTTGTGACTTATTCCCTGACCGCATGTTTAAATAATAATATGTGCTAAAATATAATACACGGAGTTGTAATAATCGAAGAATTAAACTGGGGTTATAATCAGCTGTTTTCCTTTTTTTTAGGATAAGTATGACAGAGCTACAGAAATTGTTGATACTATTAGGTAAAGTATTTATTTCTGATAAATAATGTATCTACTTATATAAAATGCATTAACTTATTTATTTATTTAAAATTTTTGTATTATATTTCCTGAACTCAGTGTTTATTTACTTCTCTGAAATCTGCAGCTGCATAATTTTCAGTTGAAATATAGAACTATAAAAGCTGTTCGAATTGCTATAAAAGATATAGTTGCAAATGAAATTACAGAATATTTGCAAGCCCGTTAAAATTTGTAGTCGTAAGTAAAATGCTAGAATATTTGCATTCTCTCTTGAAATTTGTATTTTTATTTAAAATATGATTTTAATTGAATAATATTTATGTATTTTACATTGTGTGTTATATTTTAAAGTTTTGCCTTTTAATTTGAAAATACATTTATATGGTACAATAAACGGTGTAAATTTAAATGTAGTGTAAGATATGTTATAAACATAAGCATTACAAGAAACGCCTTGATAAGAAATATTTCTAAGTTCTGTGATCAATTTTAGAAGTAAAATTAAAATCGTACTTTAAAATAATTTGCCTTTTCTTGGTTATGTCTTCAGTATGCATGTATTTTATAAATATAACATTTGATATATTTACTGTAATAACTTGTAAGTGTGTGCAATGTATAATATGGGCATTCATTGAAAGTCCACGATTTTCTTCTTAAAACTGTGCCTGCCAACGGAGAAACAAATTGGCGCATTTTGTTAAAATATGGTAGTCTCAAGATTTATTTGTGTGATGACATCTCCCGTGACAGTGATGCACTGAGTAACGTTTGTTAAGTAGTTTTAGAAGCAGACGCTGAACATGTACCGATTATTTTGATTCTAGACGTATGTTTTGAAGCGGTATATTTGCAATTATTTATATTATCTCATATGGTTAGGATAGGTTGACGTCAATCGAAGCAAGGGAGGAGATAAATGTTGAAATGATATTAATTAATATATACAAATATTTTTCCTGAACACTTAATAACATTTTCTAGGCAGCGTAGAGTGTAGGTACTCTCATGACAAAATGATCACGTGACTATGAAAGCAACCATAATTCCGTGACATCTGATAAATTTCGCCAAATGTTGCCAATCCCACATGGCATTTGGCGTGGGAATTTTTTTATTTATGGTTTTAGCGAGGCTTTAGTAATTGGTGATTACACTTGGCTTTGTTTATGCGTAATGCGGGAGCTGCTTTTATATGAGCAGCATGCTGTGGCATCTTTTTTTTTCGCTATAGATGCGTACTTTAAATGCCATCTATATTGAAAGTTAATCTTCCTGATCAATGTATACAAGTTATTGAGATATGAGGTTTTTTTTTTTAATTGTAAAGTTTTTTTGAGCGGTATTTACTGGTTAGACATGGCGTCCGCATGAGAACTTGCCATTTTTTCGAATAATGTTTATTGTAAAAATATTTTTTGAAAGTTAATTCTGTAGATACGTAACGTTATCTAGATAATAAATTTTTTGGAAAGTTATTTATCTACGGTTTTAAACTTATTTAATTGCAGATATTGACAAATTTTGCATTTGTCATCGATTCAATAATCTGTGTGGTTAAAAAGAAGAAGTTGTATTTTATTCTACCGATCCCGGGAAATTAAAAAAAGCTTTCTTCATATCTCAAAGGATGAATTAGGATATATATTAAATTACTATATGGCTCTATGTTATGAAAAAGCAAAATTATCAGCCAAAATTCTAATTTGAGACTGCGTTTAAAATTATGCCAATTTTTTTTTACATACCATGATTAATTTTTTTTTGGTAGTGTAAAAATATTATTTTCATGATTTTTTCTAATATTTTTTTTTTAGAAATAAATTTTTAAATATGAATTGTAATCTTTACGTTAATCCAAGTAAATTTCGGTCATTTTATTTTAAAATATTTTTGTATATTATTGGAAATGTTTTAAATTATGACATAAAAATTTGCATCTTATATTAAAGTAAAAACGTTTTTCATTGAAAGGATTGTTTTAACATTTGAAATTTTGCGTGAATAGTGAGTAACATATGGTGACTGTATAATATCAGTTTTTCCATCCCATAATTTTGTCAATGATGATTTACAATAAATAATCCTTTGAGATTTTTAAAAAGTTAGCTTATCTCAAGGTCAAATCAGTTGTGAAACAGAACATGTGTTAAAATGCTTTGGTCAAAACTTAAAAAAAAAAAAAAAGTAATATTTGTGTAATATTAAACTAAACTCAGTGGCACAACATCCCTAGTGGGCCACGGCCTGCAGTGCCCCGAAATCTTGACCTTGTGTCCCGGAGTGCATCAGCATATGCTCTGGGCAAGTGGTTAGCTTGTATCTGTGTAATACAGTAAGTTTTGGTTCATGTTATCTGTTTCTTTAATACCAGGAGCTAAGTTCAGACAACATCACAACAAAATTTAACTGCTGTGTTGCAACGAGGGAAAAACTGTTTGAATTATTCTTTTCAGAATGTAACATTAAAATTCTGTAATTTATTCTCTGGAAACACTATTCCTTTTATTAATTTCTTTGTTAATGACTGAGAACTTCAAAACTTATTTCAGAATTTCAGTTTCCGTGGCTTCAAATTGTCGAATTAGCCCTTGGTAAGCAAAAACTGAATATCTGCCAACGAGTTACCTATAGAATTATTACCAATGGATTCTCTGCAGAAATCTATATAGTTAATACTTTTCTTTACAGAAGTATTTCAAAACCTTGCATTCTTTCTTTTGGAATATGTCATCAAATTGTTTCTTACTGGGTTTTTGTTGTTAAAGGTGTTGACTTTATCGAACAAATGAACAAAGTATAATTTTCAACAAAGTATAATAGTATAATTTTCAAACAAAGAATGAGTCGCACTGAGGGTGCACTTTCTCTTAAATGAAAGCTAAACTTAAAACACACTGTAACTTCAAATGTTGTCTTTCTTTCTACATATGTATTTTAAAACTGTATGAGCCTTGTTGCTTTTATTTCTTTCCTTCATAAATTTTTAAATATCATCTACATGTGATGAATGATTATTAATTTATGAAACAGCTGATAAACAGACAGAATATTTTAAAATAGCAGATGCACTTTCTGCAAACTGCTCCTAGTCCCAGAACCGGAAATTTTGTCCTAATTAGAATAGTAACAGTTGTTTGAAAATTGAAGGTAATGATTAAAAGGTAAAGATCAGACTTCAGTAGTCGCATATACGGTGAAGAAGTGTTCTACAGAGAAAAAGGAAAATTATAAATTTATATGCCAGTTAATTTGAGTTTTCACGAGATTTCTTCTTATTTTTAAATGAATGATAGAAGTACACAAGGTTAACATTTCTGGTGGTATCATACGCATTAAAAACTAACATTTTAACCCAGCAGAAGTCATACCAAGAAAAGTTACTAGAGTGGGCGCGTGGGGTATCATATACCCCAATATTTAAAATACAGTAAAAATAGTTTTATTTAGTTTTAAAGCTATTTTCCTTGTTCTCGTGTATTATAAATACGTGAATAATAATTGGGTTTCAAAAAATTAATTTCCAAAATAGTCTTAGAGTTAAAATTAAGATAAATGAAAATACACAGTCCAGTCACATTAATGTGACCACCACGTACTTTCCATGTCAGAGTTAAATAACCAATCAGAGAAGGCAGGTAGGTGGCAGCACAGTGCAGTTGAGCGTATTAAAGGGTGTGTGAGGGCTTCGGAAAACATTTCAATCGTTGGCGTAATGCAGAAACGAAGCGATTTATCCGACTTCCAAAAGGGCATGATCATGGCTTGGGCCAAGGGTGGAAGCATTTCGAAACGGGAGCTGAGTTTGTGATGTTCGCGTGCCGCCGTGGTAAATGTACCGTGCATGGCAAAATGGGACTGTCCAAAATCAGCAACGTGGCAAATGTGGTGCCACGGGCCATAGATGACAGAGGCGAACGACGGTTGCGGAGATGCGTTCGGGCAGATAGACGGGCTACAGTTGAGCAACTGACCACCAAAATGAACCAAGGGGCTACCAAAAGTGTCTCCCAAAGTACTATTCAGCGAACATTGCTGCGTCTGGGCCTCCGAAGCAGACCCCTGGTTCGGCACCTATGCTGACTGCTGTTCATCGACGGCGAAAGGCTAGAATTTGCACGCCAGTACAGCAGCTGGACGTCCACTGAGTGGCGACAGGTTTCGTTTTTCGGATGAATCGCGTTTTTATGCTCCATCGGACAGATGGACGTTGGCGTATAAGGCGTGAAACCTCTGAAAGGAACCACCCTGCAACCATTTCCGGAACGGTCCAAGCTGGAGGCGGGAGCATTATGGTCTGGGGAATGTTTCCTGGCATTCTCTAGGTTCACTGATCATTGTGGAAGGCACAATGGATCAATACAAGTACGCATCTGTCCTTGCGGACCATGTTCACACCCCTAACATGCGCATTGTTTTTCCTCAGGATGATGGCATCTTCCAGCAGGACAATGCGAGGTGCCATACAGCTGCCAGTGTACGTGCGTGGTTCGAAGAGCACCAGGATGAGTTTACCGTCCTCCCCTGGCCAGCAAACTCACCTGACTTAAACCCAATCGAGCATCTGTGGGACCATCTCGATCGAGTTGTTCGCGCCATGGATCCTCAACCGCGTAATCTAGCGCAGCTGGCCACGGCATTAGAGTCGGCATGGCTCAACATCCCAGAGAACACCTTCAGGGACCTATGTGACTCTCTTCCTGCACGTCTCGCAGCAGTCTGCTCTGCGAAAGGTGGTTATTCTGGCTTTTGACAGATGGTCACATTAATGTGACTGGACTGTGTAATAAAAATATAAACATCATGCCTCTAAGTTTCATTACATCTCTAATGCACATTGCCTATTTTTTTTCTTCACATTTTGAACGAAATACATTAATGTGTTCTTGGCACATAATGTTTTCTCACTTTAAACATTGCATTCACGTTCTTCTGTCCTTGGCTTGAGCCCCCCCTTCCAAAAAAGTATCACATCTTTTCATACTTAGTTGTTTTCG